AGTTTTTAAAAATTCTGTGGATCTTTCAGTAAATCATTCATCTTTTTGATAAAGCCACCTCTATTGAGGAGAACTACTCCTCATTCTTTATCAAGCGTTGTGATTATCAGTCTCTTATAATTTATCAGTTTCTTTAGTTCTTCTCTGTGTTCCTTTGTCAAGAAACTTTTACTGTCATTTCTTGTCTACCTTTGTGTGCTATTTGGAACGTGGCAACTCAAACTGCTGCACTTCGGTGCCAAGTTCTATGTTGAATTCAGACAGACTGTCATTTCTGATATTTCTGTACTGAAAATAAAAATCCACTAGACTGGATTTGAAGGTTAGTAACAGATCCACTTGGACTTCAGGTGAGCTCAGAGAAGACAGAGGTGATGAAGACACTTATCGACAAACAATAACCGTCAATCTCTATCAGCGGGAGAAATCTGAGGAAAGTCACCTCTTTCACTTATCCTAACAGCATCGTTTCAGCTAGAGGTGGCACATATGGGATCGAAAAGACAAGAGAGATCTTAACTAATCTGAAGTCAGTCTAGAAACCCGCTAAGCTAAACATGAAGAGCAAGATTCGGATTTTGACAATAATGTCAATCCAGTCACTGCTTCTATATGCTCGGAGACTTGACACATCACTAAAAGTACTTTGAACAGAGGCTTCAGACTTTTATCAACAGCTGCTTTCACCGGCTGCATACTGAAGATCAGTTGGCCAGAAAGAATTAGCAGCAAGGACTCCTGTAGTGCAGCGAAACCACCAACAACCTATTGTTAAGGAAATATGTCGAGGAAAACTGATGATGAATCAGATACAGGCTGAGGAGGCCGTTTCATGGCATCATAGTCCAGGTATGCCCTCGAGTGGAACCTAACAGGGAAATGACAAGTTGGGCAGCCAAGGGTGACTTAGAGGAGATGAGAGCCTGTGGGTAATTGTGATGACAGCTAAAGAGGACTTCAGAGAACAGGATGAAATAAGCGCTATGTCCCATATGGAACCTAAGAGAATAATAATAGCTCCACTTATAATTCGTTCATATGCACACAAAAAACACTCAACATTAAAGTATCCAAACTACTAGATAAATATCCGATTATATCATTAAGTAATACTTGAAGTCCTTTTGGAGTTACTTAACTCAGCGTATGTCACTTTACTCTGTTGTTTTTTTAAGATTAGATAGCATTATTACCAGTGTCTACATTTATACTTTTAAGTCAGAATTCTTGCCTTAAGTATTTAATTTGTCTGCTTTCAGTAAACGAAAGATTGCAAACACACTAATCTCTGTTACATTTTCTATGCATGTATACTACTGAGGTGTATGCTATTGATCAAATTTATCAGTAGTAGATAGAGAGACGTTCATCGGCACACAAAAATATCAAATAACAGGAAGATAGATTTGAAGTCAACGAAAGCATATGATTCAGCGTTGCGGAGAAACATAGGAAACTTGAAAAGGAAGATAAAGAAACGCAATACGAAGGCCAGAAGTAGCATAACACGGAAGATCTGTGCAAATGATAATTTGTACATAATTTTACCGTATAGAAGTATACCGAATTTAAAAAATAAACATTCCTTTACCAGATCTCCTGGTTCCTCACAAACAGGTTATCTGATTGTTCAGTACAACAGTTTCAAACAAATAGATTGAAGGTGAAATTATGTTTCCAGATATTGTTGTAAACTTGGTTTTGTTTTTCTTCATTATTACTTTTTTTATGACAATATAGATAAAGTTTTACATGACATTCCCATTTACTTTATCTTAAAAACAAGTCACAGTTTTGTTCTGTTCACTTTTTCAACAAGGTATATAAATACATTTATAAGAGTCCAATAGTATGATGTCATCAATAGAGCACTAGTATAAAAAGTAAGGAGACAAACTAACCCGTTATGTAATCAGCCTAGAAGTGAATCCACTGTAAATAAGATTAAGAAAAGAGTAAAGAATGATTCACTTGTTAGTATTGCGTAACTTTCAATAAAAATCGTAACAAGCTGATAAGCTAATTGGAAAAGCCATTTTATATTTCCTCAATACAATGTGGAAAAATTAAATCGTAGTCGAAGAGATACTTTGTTCGTAAACAAAAAAAACCCGCTAAAATAATATCATCCATTGACATTTATCAGTCGTGGAATTACGGTTCTTAATCTCATGGTGTGTGAAAATTAGAATGAATCTTATTATTAACAGATGTATATACGCTCTGCGCATAAACATTCGTCTAGCTTCTATGATAAGGTTTACATTATATCTAACTTATTAAATGTTAAGTGATTCCCCTAGTTTATTTAGCTTTCCTATTAACGAAGTGTTAATTATTCAATAGGAATCACTGATATAGAATAACACCAGTAATTCATCACGCCCTCATATGACATGAGTCTTCTTTGCTAAAGACATTTAGCTTTACATGTAATACTCTGTGTAGAGCCTCACTTATCTCCTCTATACAGATAATCTCTCGTAAAGACTAAAATCACCTTGTATATATGACTAATACGTAATTCAGCGCCACCTTAGCCTGAAGGTCCAGGATTTGATACCTTTTAAAGTCTTATGTTCGTTGCTGAGATCTCCCAAGCTAGGATGAAACAGCTGTTCGGTGTTCCTTGCTTTTAATAACTCTTTAACGTGACGAAATCAATATTGAAATTAATCCAAATCCCTACAAAAGCGCAATACCTAAACATTATGTTGCATAGAATAAAAACAGTTAAAATGAGACCGTTTGGTTCCTTATAATTTCAGATTCTGTCTTCTTTTTTCAAAAGGTTTAACTTCTGATAATCTAGTCATCTACAGAAAAATATTTCCTTAGTAAAGGTGAATTTTAAAGTTTCAGTCAAGAAATAAAAGTGCTTAATCGTCTAAAAAAATACATTTGTTGCCGATGTTCATCACAATTTGATACCACCCAACGAATACAAAAATAGATGCATTTTATAAAGGTCAGTCATATAGTCCGATAAACTGTTTATTGAAGGTTAAGCAATTCTACGGTTTACAGTATTATTGCATGATCCCATAGTATGATCGCCTCCTAAACTGAAAGTTCTGGTTTCAATTCTCTTTGGGGTCATTAATGTGAACTTCTAAAGAGTCCCAAACAATTACTCCCTGTTGTTCAGTAGTTCTTCAACTAATATCAAACCGAATTTGAATAAAGCAAAAAAAATAGTGGTTTGTACAGAATAATATGGTCCCATCATTTGTTTCCTTGGCTTCTCATCAGCTGCGTACAGCCTAAAGAAATTATGAGGTTTATGTGCAGAAAAGTTTTAACATATTTGCAAAGTCTCCATGGTATCAGTTGACAGAAGATTCCGGAATTAGTGAACAGTGCTCAGAAAATTAAGCTTATACAATTTTTTCGCAGGCAGATCAAGTTTGAACAAAGTAAGTGTATGCATACAATGGTAGGGGAGTTAGGTCATAAAGGCGAGAGGTGCATAAGATGATGAGTGATTAATAAATTAGGTAACAATGTACTGAGTTCAACTCAAATCATAGAAACAAGAGAGAAGCTAAATTACACCGTATCGAAGGGAGAGTGAGGTTAACGCCAACGATTGCGTAATCAAATAAAAGAGAGAGAAAGTAAAGACATCTAGTGATCAGGCAAGGCACGGAAAGACTCATAACTGCTTCTTTCTGAACATATAAATCTGGTTTCAAGCATTTGATACAAATTGCTTCGAAACAAGAACAACAATTGTACCAGGATAATATGTGCTCATCTTTTATTATTTCGAGGATTCTTCTCAACTAGTTACAACCTGAACGATAAAAAAAGTGAATTACATTAAAGATTTGAATATATTTTTCCACAATCACAAGGTGTAATTGGTAGGAAGTAAAAGTAACATTAGTCAGGAATGATTTAATTAATTAAGTGTTACGAACACTGACTAGTTATAGAATAATCAGACGATTATGCTTGGAAACAAAAAACAGAGTTGCATATAGAAACAAGGTTAAGCTAGGAAGAGCATAACAAAAAATTGGATTACGTAACTAAAGAAAATGTTTTATCTAACAGCCAATAAAAAAGGAAAAGAACAAGGTAGGATGAGTCACGTTTAGATGAGAGAGTAGAGTTTTCTAAACAAGAAAAAGGGTGACTCATAAAATTTGTATATTTTTTGTTATCACCAGGGCATTATAAGACTCACCACTGTCTCTTTCTGCGTATGTTGCTTCGGTGAACTTGAGGAGAATCGAGCTCCTTTGTCTACTGATAATTTTAAAGGATTTCGCGATTTCCACCTCATGACCCGTATCGACAAGATGTCTGGTAACAGCGCTATTATTATATCGATCCGTGGTCAAACTTGAAACCAATCAAATCCCTGCAAACCAAAACCTAAAAATTAAAGAAATTTCCCCAAATTTTCATATTGCGTAACTGGTCAACAATATAATGCCGTTTCTTGAATTCCACTAAGCATCGGTTTTCTGCTAATATCTATCAGAATTTCTCTCATTTATGAATTTTGTGTAATAATACCGTAGCCAGTAGGCGTTCAATCAATTTCTCAGGAATCTATCCATCTAGTAATACAACAATATTATTTTGATAACCAGTTAACAGCAACAACAATAACCGGCACGAATCATCACCAAAGGGATAGCTTTAACAAAGGTTGTCTCCTTCACTTTTCTTGGAAGCGTCATTTCAACTACAGGCGGAACGGAAGAAAATATCAAAGTCAGACAGAATCTGAAAGGCAAGATATGCCTTCATCAACCTGAAACAAGTTTGGAAATCTTCCGCACTCAGCATAAGGAACAAGATTCGCATTTTCAACACCACTGTCAAGTTGGTTCTTCTATACGGGTCAGAAACTAGGCCAGCGTGTCACGGAAAGGATTTCCAACAGATTGCAGACTTTCATCAACAGCTTCCTTCGCTCCATACTGAAGATCAAATGATCATAAAGAATTAGCAACAAGAAACCAACCAAGAGCCGATCGCTTAACAAATATGTAGGAGAAAGTGGAGATAGATCGGGTATACATTGAGGAAGCCACCGAATGACATCGCGCGCCAAGCCCTTGCTCGAGTGGAATCCCAATGCGAAGCAACGAGTGGGTCGTCAGTGCAAACGTGACATGGAGGAGATCGTGTGAGGAAGAGATGAGAGAGTTTGGTCAATCGTAGACCCAGCTGAAAAGGACGGAAGAAAACAGAACAGAGTGGAGATGTGTTGCTGAAGCCCCATGTTCCACTCGGAACGCAAGGGGATTATTATTATTATTATAAATCTATTAGCAGTGCATAGCAAAAGGTCAGCAAAAAAACACAGTCGTTGTGTCTTTCATTCATCGGGAAATACAAAATCTTTTTTTTCAATAATGAACTAACACTTTAAGCTAATTATATATAAAAAAGTCATTGCCAAATGAGGTGAAAGTTCCACTAAAACTACTCCAGATCAGTAAAATAAAAATTCTCACTAAATGTAACAATCAAATGAAGTGTGATCATATCTCTGATATCATGAAAGACTGTATTTTTTCTTTTGTGATCTTAGCCATATATGTTACAAAATAAATAACCTTTCCCCTTGTAATCTATTATTATGTTTATTGTATAAAAAAATGAATACACTCTGATCTGATGACAAGTTTATTGTCCCAACCGGACTATTATTATTATTATTACTATTATTAGCGTGTTCTGCGGGTAGAAAGTGTGTTATACCAATTTATTTTGAGTACTATTATCTGAAGTGTATGACTTTTAACCTGAAACTTTTTTTTGATTGGTTCATATTTTTTGTATGAGATTTTAATGTGAACGGGTGACAACTTTTTTTACGTGAATTACTCGTGTTTATGCTGATTGGACAAAATAATTAAGACACGGGGTTGATTTAACCAAAAGAATGCGACTACCAATATATATGTATATAAATGGATATGAGCCTCTGTGTGATCACTTGCCAAAAAGATTATCAGCTATTCACTTACAAACAGACAGAAAAAAAGAAAATGAATCACAATATTTATAAAACAGCTGATCAATCTATTATAAATCCATGTCAAACATCAACACCTATAACATGTGATAAATCTAAAGGGAAAAGACGTGGTCGACGATCTACTATACCACCAGAATATCGGGAACAAACACGAAGAGTATGTACAAAAAATTATATTCTCTTTTTTATTTGTACGAAAATTTCATGTCTAGTTAAGTTTTATCTCAATAGTCTCTAAATGATACTACCTTTTCTAATTGTTGGTTTTTGTAACCGTTTCATTTAAAAAAATATATAAAAATCTCATGTATAAGTGGAAATCAGTCATAAAATTTTGAATACAATCAAATTTAGAAGGTGATTACTTTTTGTTGGTGTTGATAAGTTGATATAATGTTAATGTAATAGATGATGATTTAATGTGGAATGAGAATCTGGATTAGAACACGCGGCGTTTTAATTACTAGTCATATGCTCTAAAAGCTACGAGCTACAAGACTCAACGGCTAACCAGACCACCACTTACTACTATCACCATGGATAATATACCCGGCTGTCATGTTTCCACTACAGATTTTCATTACACCTTGAGTCATCATTCATTTCATCAATAACAAACAGTCACCATCCATGAGTACTAAATTTTAATCTGAAATAGTATTATTGGCAAAACCGGAGCTGTGCATACAAAAGAGGATTACTCAACCACTTCTACTGTCATGGTAACAACTTTTTTAAAATTTTGATGACTTAATTTTTTTTCTTTGCCTGTTCTTTAATTACTTATAATTCTTGTATTCATTTAGAACTTTTACGTAATTTCGTATTATCTATTAGCAATCTGACTGACAATTATTTGAGTCATATAGTTTTTTTTAAGATGGCTCGTGTGAGGCACCAATGCTGAGAAGATGTCTTTTTTACGAAAAAGTTCATCATTAAGAGTACAAACCTGAAAAGTTGACATAATTCACTGAAGTAACAGTATGCTATAAAGACATGACTCTAAACTGAAAAAACCTCATATATGCATATTTATATACTTTTTGTCTTTGACATTAACTGTGATAAACTGACACTATGATGCGATAGGATGAAATAATAACTAAGACTGAAGAAAACTATAAGTTACTGATTCGAATCTTTCAGACACTTGAGTTTCCCATGTGAACTTCATTGTATAAAACCTTCTCAATTGACTTATGTCACCTTAGCTTGATAAACTCTTCGATTAAAGCAAGTCGTCATATTATTATTGTTGTTGAAATAAGGTGCTAATCTGTTCACAACTACTTTCAGCTTTACAATTTAATGGTTGTAATTAGATTTATTGATACATTAGTAGTTCTACAGTTTAATCACTTCTAACAATATATTCAGTTAGTATTCATCTACTTGAGCTAAAAATCTTCTCTATTATATCTAATGCATTCATTCTCATACTTGCAGAATAGTTGCTACCTTTTTGAGCATCTGATGATAGTTTATAGACTAAGTGAAGGAAAGAATCTTCAAAATATTCAATTTAAATTTAACATTCAAACAGATAATAATTTCTAAATATGCCATCTGTAAGGTTTCCTTGTTCGTCACTGGCACAGAGGTAGGATGCTCGCCAAGCACTCCTCATATGGTCCGGGGTTCGATCCTCGGCCGACTCACTGCTTTACTTCGCCAAATCAGTAATAAGACTGGTAAACAGCTAAGGTTGGGCATGAGGCTAGCAATCCCATCCCTTTAAAAAGACGCCACTGCTACCGAAACTTCAAGCCTTTCGCTTGAAGCCCTATCTTCCACTGGGAACGTAAAAGAATTTTTTTTAAAGTTTTCGTTATAATTAATGTTACACTGTTTTGGTTAGCCCATCTTTATAAATTGTGACTGCTATCTGTAGTGATCGGTTAACTAATGTTTGTATGAATATTAAAATAGTATTAGTAGCCAAAAATTACTATATTATTCTTTCCGCCTAAAGTGTAATTAAAACCTAGACAGTAAGTTTTTATATTACAATTTGAATAGGTCAATAGATCATAGACTTGTATGATGAGTATATCATATAACGGGTAGCACGAAAGCTATTCTCTTTTTCTGAAATTATGACTGAAGTGTGGCACTTATAGAAAGAATGTTAACATGTGGATCCACTTCTCTGCATAAATCTTATTTCTGTGTATCGGAAAGAAATACCTTAAACAAACTCAGTTGTTTCCATATGATGCTTAAATAATTTTAATCTCATTCAATTACGCAACAGTGCCTTAGATGAAAATGACGTTCCTACATTCTTAGTGGAAATTTGTGACTGATGGGGTCTATCAAGTTGGGTATAATGAAAGACACCTGATATTAGATCAAAAGGTTACTATACAGCCAAAATGAAGTTGTAAATCACAAGGCAACTGGATTCTGGTCCAATGGTTGAATAGTAACATGTTCACTTAGCATTTCTGTAGACTTCCAAGGTGGAATAAAACGTGTTTTAAGTACTTCGTGGTTTCCAGTGATTCTTTTAGCTGATGGCTCTTTGTGATGTAATCCAATATGAATTTGAAACAAATCCCCAAGAACTCACAGCTTGATATTATACGGTTATGCATCACCTTTTCATAATTTGTGAATACATTTTTGCAAACAGTCTTATTAATTTACGTTTTATTGTTATTATTATTATTATTATAAATTTCAGATTAAAAAACAGAATCTAGAACGCCGCAGAAGAGCTTGTATATCAGATAAAATGAATGCGTTGCATAATTTAGCTATGGATTTAATTGGTGAAGATGTAAGTTAGAGCCCTATTTTTGTTTTCAATAAATTATTTCATACACCTTTATCAAAATGGTATTCTTCTTTATATGATACTTAAAATAATTAATATGACGTTTCTAAGTGGTCGCGCTACGTTATGAATTGGCAGAAGTTGGAATTCATGAGTTGGCCATTGGATCGGGTCCCAGTGGCTAGTGAATTGTCTACGAGCTCGCTAGCCTTGTAACCAGAAGGCCCTGGGTTCTAACCCTGTTGGTGGGTGCGTACTGGGGAAGAGTCCCAAGCTAGGCTGTCAAAACAGCTATTCAGTACTCCCTGCAGGTTTTCCATTGGTTCTCTAACCGATGTCAGCTCATGATAAAATCCTCCACCCAATCAAATAAAATCCCTGCAAACCATACTTCGAAATATGAAAAATATTCAGCATTCTTGTTATTTTGAAATGCATAGCTAAAGAATAATTCAGTTAAATATTTACATGTCTCCTACTCATTAGCGGTGCATGATTTTCTTTTCCAGTCAAATAATTCCATATTAGTTTGTTTATTAGATGTATCACACAGTGAAGAAACAGTATTATTTACTGGATGACAAAGTTTCGAAAACAATTTATTGTTCATAATCATATCAATTGTAATCACACGACTTTGAAACTTGAGTTTTATAGTTCTCTTTGTCTTCTCCTATTTTAGTATGGGTAGTAGAATTTTCCAGATATCTGGAACAGATGTTGAATCATTCCTATTACATGTATTTGCAGTTGATTCGATAAACAAAGCTTCTGTTATCAATCTCTCCCTCCACCCTGTGACATTAGATTTTAAAACTGTCATCCTATCCCATCCTGTTGTATGCTTGTGTGCAACTGCATGTAATGCTATGGCTGAACTATTCTCTAGAATTTTTTATCTTATTCGGATCAACCAATCTAGATTTCGCTAGGTTTTTATGTTCAGCTAGTCTGACTCCCCCTGTTCTACTAGTTTGACCTATGTATTTGACCTGACAATCATTGCAGCGCATTAGATAAACTAAATTGTTTTGTTTTAAAGGCTTCACAGGATCCTTTAACCGACAAAGCTTGTTTCTAATTGAGTTTGTGGTTGGTTTGAATGTTACTTTTATTCTGCGTAAGGTTTCTGAGGTTCCTTCTTTGTGTGGAATTACTACTGATGATTTAGATTCCTTATTGTTGGTGTCGTCATTAATATTATTATTATTACTATTATTATCATTATTGTTATTATTATTATCGCCACTATCATTATTTATTTTATTTTTACATTTCTTTACATATTTACAGACTAATTTATCCGGGTAATTATTAACTGTATCACTTCCTGTCTTAGATTTTCTTTGGTACTACTTAGTTTTTGTGCTCTGTCATTCAAACATTTCACCAATCCTATTTTTACTGACATAGGATGGGATGATCGGAAGTCCAAATATCTGTCTAAATGTGTCGGTTTCCTGTAAACACTAGTGTTTAACTTCCCACCTTCTCTCCTTTTTATTTTGCAATCTAACATTGGAAGTTCCCCATCCTGACTTTCCAATTCATAAGTGAATTGAATTGCCTCTACCCTCGAGTTGATGTGTTCGAAAAATCTATCTATATCTTGTGTTCTAAGTACAGTGAATGTGTCACCTACATTCCTCCACCATACTTTTGGGTTGGCGTGGGGTGGGGTCAAATATGTATATAGTTTAACCAAATTAGTCTATAAATTTCTTTGTGTATTAAGCTACCATCCACCATCTATGGATATCCTATGATTGTCGTAATCAGAGCAGTTAGAGGGGTATATGAACAAGTCACCTAGCAGCTGAACTTTAATTCTTAAGCCAGTTAGCCATACCACTGTTCCAACATACTTCCATTTTCACTAAATGTTTACTGCAAACGATTGAGTTATTGAATCGTGTCTTAAATACATTCATGTTTTAAACAAAATCGAGTAGCTAGCCACTGATATTATTAGATTTTGAAGAACGCTGAGTTGAAACAGGGACATCGAGCTAATGACAGACGTGATAATCGCGAGTACCGCTTGTCTAGGCCAAAAACGAATACAATGACTAACCAATCTCTCAGCCTGCAATTTAAGTTGAAGCACACAAAAGACAAGAAGGAAAAGCATATGTATATTTTCACAGTAACGTATAATTCGAAAAATCACTAGGGATATGTCAATTAGTCGGATTTTTGGCTTCATCTTGGCACCCATGACAGCGGTCTTTCATATCAGCATCCGTAATTGGTCAGTATGCATAACTTTTTGACAACAGATTTCATCCATGCAATTCCTAGGTGCCAACTATGAAATTGTTCCAGTGTGGTCTGTCACAAGGTGTCTGGTATTACCATATGTTCTTCAAACATTAGACAGTCATTAATGATACTGAGACCCTAACGCCTCCAGAATTGTCCGTTGAGGTCATGGTTTGACATGGACTTCGGCAGGGAGTCTCTGACGAACCTCATAGTTTATTGTAGAGTATCAACTCTTTCGGTGACCCACCTTATTCATTATGCTGTAGTTGACAGTTGCTCAGTGATATATGTTAACAAATCTTGAGCGTGACTCTGTCTTCAGGGTCGCACCACCTGTTTCTTCTCTCGTGAAAGAAGATACACATACACAGCTTAATAATAGAGTTTTCATGTGATGACATCAATACCTAAGCACTAAGAGTAAGTTAGTATTCATATTTGTTTTTTTTAAATATCCGAAAAAGCTTTAAACTGACAACCTGGCACCGGCGTAAATCGGACGAGATGGGGGTAGGGGTAATTACTTGAAACTTGAACCAACATCCTCCAGTCTGTTGACATGGTGCCCTTTTTATTAAGCCACAAAACACATTTGTTGATTAAATCTCACTAATGATAAGGTGATAGTAGTATATTACCTATTCTGCTAATGACAACTTGATGAAATCATGATACAGGATTTCATCATGAGCTGGCATTAGTTAGAGAACCATTGGAAAACCGACAGGGAGTACATAGCAGTCGTTTCGCCCTAGTTTGGGGCTCCTCATCAGTACGCACGCGCTGCCAGGGATCGAACCCAGAACCTTCTAGTTACAAGGCCAGCGAGCTCGTAGACCATCAAGCCACTGGGAGCCGATCCAATGGCCCATGAATTCTAAATTCTGCCAATTCACGATATAGCGCAACCGCTAGCCAATGTCTTCGGCGAGTATTTGTCCTCACACCCGACCTGCTGCACCCTACTGGTCACGACTTCCCATTAGAAATCATGATAACTAGTGTGAATTTAAAAATTCTTCAGTAAATGGGTCTCGTGACACGATCGGTAAAGGGATGATGTAGACATTTTTTGTTTGGTAAACTCGATATTTTAGTCTATCGTTTTGTTTTAATTGTGAATATCATTTACAGAACCCCTAAAGCTGAAAATACATTTAGTTCTAATTTGAAAACCTGTGTTAGGGCACACTCACGACCCTGCTAAGGATTGAATACAAGACCTGTACATCGCGAGATGAATGAAATCTGTTATTTACCCTGTATGCACACACTGTTTATACTGGCTAAGATAAATTTGGGTATATTTGCAATGTATACCCATATGAATGACCTACTGATCACTATTATTATTATTATTATTATTAATATCCATGCTAAATCAAGAAAAAGTGAGTATATATCTGGGTCTATTAAAAGAATGAATAAATGAATAGATAAGTTGACCCAAATTTCACCATCAGACTTAATCCAATAAATAATGCCGTACATTTGATTAGTTTTTATATTATTTTCTAATAGCAGTGGTATTCTGTAAAGTGCGTGGGTGTATTGGTGCGTGTGTGTGTGTGAAAGTCAGAGGTTTAGTTGATCAGTGAAATGGTTTGTCTTTATATTCTTGCTGCTGCTGTTGTTGTTGTTGTTGTCGTTGAGCCTATCACATAACCATTATCCTAATAACAACTACGAAACACCTAATTGTTTATATTTTGGCATAGAGAACAATCTTTGCGTGATATGGTGAAATGTCATTCACCGTTATTCTTCATAAAACTAATCACATAAGTCTTACAGATAATAAGGATGATAATTACCCTAGTGTCTGAACTATTCACCAAAATGGTAACTATAGTCCCATTTTTCAAGCATAAGTAAGTATTAACTGAAATCATTTCATATAGACCAGTTTTGTACAATGCACTCACAATTAGTTATTTTATCTCTATGCTAGAGTGCATTATGTCTAATTGTCAAAAGGTAGATTGATTCTGTCTAAAATATATATATAAAAAAAGAAAGAATCATTATGACATTTATAATACAATTGTTATTATTTATTAAACAATTTAACATTGCACTGAAAAATAAGCAAAACAAACATACAAAACATGTAAGGTTTAATTGGTAACTTTTATAGAAAGGTTCTCGATATGAATTACTAATTTAACATAACATTTAAAGGAATAGAACTATAATGATAAGCTTCATCGATCTGTTAATTCAAAATAAAGGATACTCAATACCATTAAGTTCTGTATTAAGTGAACACTAGTGAAGGGGATTTAAGCGGACTGTAAGTGATTACGACTTCAGAATTTGGTATATAAACCTGAAAGTTGTGCTGGCATCGATACGATGTTCATTATCGACCAAATGTGACAGAATCGAACATGTTATGCATTTAATTTCCTCCTTGCTGGATCAAGCTGGTAAATGTTCTCGAAACTGTAGACGAACCTGTCTGTCTGTTTTCGACATAGAACTTTGCACAAATGTGCGGAAGTTCAAGTCGCCACACTCCGTGTAGCACGCGAAGCAAGAGAAGAAAGTATAAGAGAGAGAGTAGAGAGTAGTAGAGAGGTTTCGCGTGCGTTTCGGATTGTGAGGGCGATTGTTACTTCCCGGCTGCCCACACCGTGGAAGTTGGTTGCGTGACCGCAGAGCCCAGGGGACAACTGCTTGGGGCCGGTCACACGCGGCCTGTTTTTGTTTGTTCTGTTTTGTTTGGTGTGCCTCAATAGCATACTTATCACTTCTGCCCTGTGACACGGCAGCAGGGAGCGCGGTCGTTGTTAATCCGGGCCACGGCCGATCCGGCATGAAATTTTGTGATTTTGTATTGGTCATGATGTTGGGTTGGGTAGCTGCTTTTTGTTTAACCGCTATCCAAACGAACCTGTCTAGTCGTACGCTCTATGTAACTTGAACCACAGGAACAGTTGAAATGGTACATTCGGGGGAGATACCCCTGCGAAGATTCTATTGCAGCGTTTAACCATAGCGGTAAAGACAACTTTCTACTCTGTATGTAACCTTAGCTCTTCTTCATGCATACACCATTTTTACTTTTCCTGTAGTTCAAGTTATATAGGGTGTACGATTAGGAAGGTTTTTTTGAGAGATCGAGAATATTTATCAGCTTGGTTCAGAAGGGAGGAAATTAAATTCATGAAAAGTTCGATTCTGTCACACTTGGTCAACACTGGACATCACATCGACACAAACACTAACGAATGAAATTTTGATATTTGTCATAATGGCCCGTTCCATTCTTAAATAAATATACCATAGTATGAGAGTTAGTAGATTAAACAAGAATTGGTTGGAGGATTTTATCATGAGCTGACATCGGTTAGAGAACCAATGGAAAACCTACAGGGAGTACTGAATAGCTGTTTTGTCAGCCTAGCTTGGGACTCTTCCCCAGTACGCACCCACCACCAGGGTTTGAACCTACGACCTTCCTGTCACAAGGTGAGCTCGCATACCATTCACTAGCCACTGGGACCCGATCCAGTGGCCGATCCATGAATTCTAACATCTGCCAACTCATAACGTAGCGCGACCACTAGTCAGTGTCTTTTTCGATGATTTACTGCCTCACCTTCAACCTGCTGCACCCTACTGGTTACTGCTTCCCACTAGAACCCCAGGTTCTGGTGGGGTTCTGACCCTGCCTGAATAGGGTCAGTCGCTAGTGAGCACCTCAATGATATTCAACTATTGGTTTGTAGGGATTTAATTGGTTACAGGATTCCAATCTTTTGAATTAATTATTGCAACCCTATACAAGTTTTTACTTTAGATACATTTTCTGATATAAGTAAACTAATTGTTTTTTTGAATACTAGAAAACCTTGTTATCGTAATTGTTAAACTTCTGTCCTCATCAAATTAAGTTAATGAATATTTCCATAATTGCTCTGTTCTGATTTAATTTTCGGTCATTTCATCAAAAGTATTTAAATAATGATGCTTTGCATTTCAAGAACCCCACCCCAACTCCCTACATGACAAAAATCAATACATCCTTATGACGTCTTTAGTGTAGAGAATACTGAAACAGTCCGATATTGTCTAATCAATGTTCAGCTTAACTTGAAGCTCGCAAGCGATTTTAAGATACGTTTAGTGACTTGGATAATTGAGTAATTTCTCAATTCAAGATGGAAATGAGTGTAGCCTAATATCGTTTAAATTTCAATGTTTGACAAGGTGAAAATTTCGAATAAATCTCAAAATACTCCCAAATATTAGGATGGGATTAAAATAACTTGTATAAGCTACCAGTTTGCCGATAGTAAATAGACATTAGGGCATCATTTATTCACATGCCAACTGGGTAAAACTCTCTGTGTGATTGAAATGAAACTAAAACCCAATTAATAACAAGCCTGTGTAACTCACTCAATATTTGATAATTGTTTGTTTGAAACGCGCAGCGATCCAGAGTTTCATTTCAACATCAGCAATTACCTCATTAAATGCTAAACATCTTAAGACTATTTAAGGTTTTCTTCAACATATGAGATTTATGCGAGAGGAAAAAAGAGTTCTGGTTATTTCTGACTGAAATTTGACATCTGTTTTCATTTCCATAAGTTACAAGAAGTTGATTTAGATAACATGATATATAATAGTGATCCTGTAAACTAGTGACTATTGTTGTATTCATTGTATCACTATCACCTCACCTAAATATTGCATTTATTAGAATGTAGTTAATTTCAAGACATTTAATTACGAAATGGTGTAAGAGGCGAATCAGCTGAAAACCATGAGACAGTGAGAAGCTGTTTCTTTCTAATTTGACCATCTTAGAAACTGCTCACCGCTGTCATCAATCATTATCAATTACAGACTTACTGTATTGTGATTTAAATCACATCTACACGACATTTGCTACCCAGAATTTGGGTGAGTTGAACAGATTCGGCTCTTTGAGCTAACTGTAACTAGATATATCACTGATAAACTCAGCAATACGGCCATCCTATAGTTAAACCCCTTTGATCTGGATAACATGTACTACTGTTGTGGTGATTGCTAATGACAAGATTTGTCAGTAGTATATGGGAAGATGTCCATCGGCATAAAAAGATCAAATAACAAGGAGATAGACAGATTTAAAGTCAGAGAAAGCAAATGATTCAGCGTTGCGAAAAAACTTGGGAGATCCGAAAACAAGGCAAAGAAACACAGTATAATGTTCAGAAGTTGCACAACACGGGAGATCTGTACAAATGACGATTCGGGATAAAAGTGTACACAATTTTGATATATAGAGATATCAAATTCCTGCCGTCACGCTGTTTGATGTATGTCAGTTGTGTATGTCACTTTGTTATACCGATTTGTTACACACCGATATTATTTAAAATATTTTATGTAGAAATAATAACAGTTATTCTTCTTTTTTTTTTCTCTAACTTTTATAGCCAACACAACATCAGAAAATTGAAAAAACTGATATCCTTAATATTTGTCATAATGTCTTTGCAAATGTTGTCGCCATTGTAAATGAACAACCAGGTGAGATTGATTATAAATTATTATGTAACAGTATTTTGAAATGTTATCTTTTCAGCTTTAAAAAAAAAGTAAACGTCATCTTGAAATTTTCAAAATAAACAGTTACACCATATTGTCATTGGACACCAGTGAGTAACTAGTGTTGTGTGTCTAGTCCTTTCTTTTGTGTAGACTGAATTTTATCAGTCAGGTTTGCAATTTGACCAACATTCTAGGTAGCTCACCATCACGGTGCACTATGAATTATTGATGTTAGATGGTTGGAGGCAGTCGGTAGGAAGTCTTGAACCTAGGTCTCGTGCTAGTTGGCACTCACCAGCCAGCAAGGCATATCTCCAGCCTTGAAGGAACTCTTGTCCCTTCTGAGACTCGAACTCGCGACAGCCATTGCTGCAGTCAGAGCTATTCAAACTCGTGATTCACCTCCTGTAGGACTCTATTGGATACTTTGATTGGACACTGGTAATTGGTGTGATGTGTCTAGTCCTTTCTTTGGTGCAGATTGTACTGTATCGACTATTGACAGCATTTAGCCTATCAGTAGAAGGTCAGAAGTATTTATGGTAATGACAGTGCAGTCAGTCAGTATATTTAACTGAAAAAAGAACAATAATAGGAAAAGCTAATGTGGTAACTAGTAAACACAGATAGAATACACATAACTAGAATTTAATTGGTGTATGGTGACTAGCATTGGAATCCAGGATGCATATTCCGTCCTGTTTAGCACTCCTCAGCTGGATATACCTGCATTCCCCAGTGAGTGATGATGTTCCCACCTAGGCTCGAACGCAGTGCCCATAGTTTCAAACGCCAAAGCGTTATCCACTACACTACTTGGGCCACGAGAGCCACCTCTTTTGCAACGGGTCATATTAATTATTTTAATTGAATTTTAGATTTTCCCGTCTAGTGATTGGACCGAAGTGCCCGGTTTACCCACCTGAGTCCCAAACAGGACGAAATGCGCATCCTGGGTTCCAATGCTAGCCACCATACACCAATTAAATTATAATTACATGCCCCGACATCATCAAAGCATCTGCACAAAAAGCCGACATGTCAACCTGAGGCCGAGCACTTCGGTCCAATCACCCGATGGGAAAATCTGTTAAATGTTTTGAGGTTTGTATGAGTTTTCGACTGCCCATAATGTAGATTCTGACACGAATTGACATCACTTAGAGGGTCACTGAAAACCAGGGGGGCATTGATTAGCTGTTTTATCCTCTTCAGTCGTATTGCTATGTCATGAAATAAAAGAAGTTGAAATTCACCGGTCGTTAATTTCTAAGCCAATGGCTAAATGCTGACGAGCCCATTTCGTAAGCTGAAGGTCCTTGTACATTGAATGATATGTAACAACAAAGAGTTTTGAACTGTGATGCAACAGGGATACAGCTCGCCGTGGTTTTCAGCGATTTTCCAATTCAGGTTAATTGGTAAAGAAAACTATACTGTAATCAATACAATTATTTATTCACAAACTATAAGGATAGTTAAATTCAAAGGTGGTATCAGAAAGGTTACTAGAACATAACAATCTTTATCAGTTGAAATCCCTTGCAACAAAGCTGTCGGTAGAAATTAGTTGGACTATTTAGTATTGCATGGAAGATTTCATCATGAGCTGACATCAGTTAGAGAACCACTGGAAAACCTGGGGGTACTGAACAGCTGTTTCGTCCTAGTTTTGGACTCCTCACAGTACGCACCCACCGCCAGGGTTCGAACCCAGGACCTTCCGGTTACAAGGCTAGTGAGCTCGTAAACCGTTGAGCGGTTGGAACTCGATCCAATGGTCCTTGAATTCTAACTTCTGCCAACTCACGACATGGTGCGACCATTTCGCAATGTCTTCTTCGATGAGTCACTGCCTCACCTTCAACCTGCTGTACCCTACTTGTCACAGCCTCCCACTAGATCCCGGGTTAACTGCCTGAATAGGGCCAGTCACTAGTGAACAAAATCAATTGAGTACTCAAAAATCAGATGGTTTCTATGATTCTCCATCCATCTCCTTGGTACACTTGTCATTATTTACAAATGAAAGAAATTTAGATGTAGGCTAAAATTAATCTTGATAGGCTTTCACTTCAAATAAACGCAGCTGGAAGCATATAAATACAGGTGTCCATTTAAACCTGCGATATAAATGTATCATCATATTATTATGAGTTGTATTTCGTTCATGTAGTCTTCGAAAAGCTTCGATTCTTAGATAATAACAATTCCCTAATTTCTCTTCACATTTCGTTCTCTGTCATCTAAAGTGAAGTATGCCTTCCTCTTTAACAAATGATGCATAAAATCATAGAAAAATCTAAAGTCTTGATAACTACACCTATGATCTTTCTGGATTCAACACAGAACTTCGCACCGAAGTGCGCCGAAGTTCGAGTTGCCACGTTCCAAAATAGCACACAGAGGTAGACAAGAAGATGAGTGAAGAGAATCAATAGAGTTTGACGAGTATAAGAGTGAAACAGAATGGGTAATGGTAGAAAGGAATATGAAAGATTACAGAAACTGAATACATCTGCGCCATTGACAACGATTTTGAGCCATGTCACCTATTGTCTCCAGCCATTGATTCCTAGAGTCAGTCCCGAGGGCCCCAACCCGGGAGTCTGCATCTCCCTACCTGACTCAGTTTAACTGTCAAGGATTTCATGGATTGATGAGGCCATGTTTTTGTTTGGCCACCACTGGCTCTTTTCCAGCCTGCACCTATATCAGCTAGCAATGCCCGTCGGGGGAGGCGGTGGTTAGGCATGCGCAGCACGTGACCTAGCCATCTTAGTCTATGTAACTTTATAGCTCTCTGTAGGGATTATGACTAACAGACTTCGGTGACGAGAAGACAAGGTAACGTAAGAACACAACATCAGAGATAAACACCTATGATTCAAAAAAGGACGTCACATCTTGTAATCTTCATTCCTTATTATTATTTCCTTGGGTTCCGAATGGAATATAGGGCTTCAATAACACGCCTCCATTTTGTTCTATTTTCTACTGTCCTCTTATTCTGGGTCCACGATTGCCCATAACCTCTAATCTGCTCCTTGCACGACCCACTCAACGCTTCCCATTTGGATTCCACTCGAGGGCTGGCCTGGCGCACAATATCATTTGACGGTCTCCTTAATGTATGCCCGATCGATCTCCATTTTCTCCCACATATTTTTTGAACGACAGGTTTTTGGTTAGTTCGTTCTTAGAATCTCTTGTTGTTAAATCTTTCTGGTCATTTAATCTTCAGTATGGAACCAGAGAAGGTGGCAGCTGTTTGTAAAAGTCTGTAACTTGTTGGAAATCATTTTTGTGACACGCAGTGCAAGCTTCTGACCCATGAAGAAGAAGTAACTTAACATTGGTGTTGAAAATCTGATTCTTGTTCTTTTTGTTGGGTGCAGTGCAGAAGGCTTCCAAACTGGTTTCAGGTTGATTAAGTCGTGCGTATCTTGACTTTCCGGTTCTGGTTGGCCTTGACATCTTCATCCGTTCCGACTGCCTGTGGTTGAAACGATGCTTACTAGATAAGTGAAGGAAGTCACTCCTATCAAATCTCTCCTACTGATGGTGATTGGTTATTGTTATTCTTGCGGTTCGTTGGTTATCTTCATCACCTCGGTCTTCTCTATGTTCACCTATGGTCCTTTCTTCTCTGACTGCCTTGCCTCTTGTGCCAATTTGTTGGTTTTCGCCTGCCTGTAAGTCTTCGAGTTTATGTGACATTAGCCATAAGTCATCTGTGAAATCCAGATCTTCTAGAGTCTCCTTACCAATCATTACAGCTTATTCCTGTTTTCTCACTCCCATCGCACAGTCCGACGCATAATTCAGTCTACCACAATTAAGAATATCATAGGTGATAATAAGGCAGGCAGCCTTGTCCTACTCCCGTATTCACTTCGAACGCCTCACTGAGTTTTCCCTTGTGGATCACTTGACACGTGGCATTGTCATATAGCCAGCTGTTAAATGAGGTTGATAAAGATTTGGGCACTGCACGCCATAGTGTTGAAGTAGTTTCCAAATTGCTTCTCAGTCAACGCTGTCTGTCGAAGGCCTTTCGAAGTCTATGAAGTTGAGATAGAGGTCTGACTGCCATTCTATGCTATGTCCTGTGATGACGATGCGTAAGGTTGCAATTTGATCAGCATATGGCTTGCCTTTCTTGAATACAGCTTGTTCCAGCGGGGCGGAGTTCTGTATCCAATGCATCTTTTGCTCTCTCCAGGATGATGCGAGTTAGTATTTTACTTGGCGTGGACAAAAGCACTATTCCATGCCAGTCCTTGCAGAGGCCTAACTAGGTAGCCCTTCTTTGGTAGTTTCACAAGATAGTTAGCCTTTCTTCCAATCAATGAGTACCTTTCCTTCATTCCAAACCCTTTGCAATAATGGCGTGAGCACATCTACCGCAGTCTCAGGATCCGTTTTCCGTACTTCGGGGGGGAATTCTGTTTGGTTCTGCTGCATTCCCAGCGAGAATTCAGTAACTTGATCACATTCAGGATTTAGGCTTCCGTTCGTTGAAGGATTAGTGTCCACTGGTAGGCACTTCTGTGCCTGTTGATGATGGAGGTGTTATTCCTGGATGAGTTGGAGGTGGTGATCGATTCAAGAGTTTTTTGTGGTGATCAGCCCATTGTTTTATTTGTCTCCCCCTAGGTTCCCTCAAGCATCTCTCATAGTTTTCACCTGCGTTGATCTCTTCACAGATTGCGAACAACCTGGTTATCTGGTTTAATGTCCCGAGGTCTGTTACCTGCAGCCTGCTTGTTCTACTTCTTTATTCAGTGCAGTGTACACTGAACTCTGCTTCTCTTTATGCTATTCATCTTTGGATTGGTTCATCATCCGTTCCACCACGCTCCTGTCTTCTATTAGCTTACAGGTAGGCGTCCGTTCAGAGCCATTCCTAGTCGTGTCTCTTCTTCCTTCCCAGAACAGTTGTGAACGTTTCCTTCAACATCACCTTCAGAAAGGTCTAGTGTTCTTCCATGCAGATTTCCTCAGTGATGCCATGTAGTGTCTACGACTTTGCTCTGGTCTGCTCTGTAGTCTTGTCCTTCAGTTTCTGAGTGTTGAATTTGAAATGTGGTCCGTTTCTAGTTGTTCTGAAGGATTTCAGCTTAGCCTTGATGATTTTTTTAACAAGATGATCATCTGAGCTCATATCCGCCCCCTTTCTCGACTTTGTGTCCAATCCTCATTCGTAACCACTTTTTTATTGTATTCTATTATTAAACCTCTATATAGCCTTTTTGATGCTGGCTAGTTATGTGTAATTCATGAAAATCCGCAGACATACATATTTTTCCCAGTCACACTAAGGCTATGTAGAGTGTTCGGACATACATTATAAGGCAAGTTATGAACATTACTATCAAGCACAATTTGGAACGCAAGATTCAGTTTTTTTCAAAGCTTCATCAGTGCTTGTATGCTTTAGTTTACTAGGTAAGTAGTCCCATCGCATTATTAGAATGATGAAAAATACTATGAACGCTCATATTTCAATCATGAAGTCGTCTATAATACGGGTACACCAAACAGTCACATCTGATTATATCACTTGGTCATGAATTATTGTATACCACACTTATTCTAAAATATTCTTAAACAGTAGTCGAATACTAATTAGTGATAAGCTATTTGAACAGATATTCTTAATGATACTATTAGCTGATTTCTAAAAGTATCATCAATATTTCTTAACAAACTTCCCCTTAGAAATATGTACATAGAAAACTCAATTCACAATTAAATCTCATTTAAGCAGTTCTCAGAATGTTACACTAAACTAAGTGAATAATTCATTATTATTATTGATTATATCCTTTAATTCCTATAGGAACATAGGGCTTCAGCTGCGCGTCTCCATTGCGTTCGGTTTTCTGCCAACGTTTTCACCCCACTCCAACTCTGCCCACATGCTTTCATCTCCTCTTCACATGACCTCCTCCAAGTCGCCCTCACACTGACGACCGACTCGCCGCTTCCCTTTCGGGTTCCAATTAAGCAATGGCTTGTCTAGTGATGTCACTTGATGGTTTCCTCAGAGTATGTCCAATCCATCTCCATTTCTTCCTGCCTATTTGTTTCACAATCGGTTCCTGCTGTGTTGGTTCGCTCATTGACAGAGATCCATCCCTGTTGCTGATCTTTTCTGACCGGCCATCTGATCTTGAGTGTTGAGCGAAGACAACTGTTAATGAAGGTCTGTAGTTTGTTTGAGATGCTCTTTATGACGCGCAGTACAAGTCTCTGATCCATCCATATAGTAGCACTGACTGACTTCACATTGGAGTTGAAAATCCGGATCTTATTTTCATTGTCATGCTGAGTGCTGTTGACCTCCACACAGACTTGAGAGTAATGAAAGCTTGTCTTGCTTTTCCGATTCTGGCTTGGATATCCTCTTCAGTTCCGCCTGTAGCTGAAACGATTCTTCCCAGACAGGGTAGGTAAAGGAGATTGTTTCTTTCAGGTTCCTCCCATGTATGCTGGCTGATTGTTGTCTGTTGTTGTTGCTGCTGTTGGTGTTGGCCAGGAATCTTCATCTATGTTCATTTGAAGTCCTATCTTTGATGCTTCTTCTGCCAACTTGTTGCTTTTCACTTGCACATCTTCCTGTTTGTACGAAATCAGACATATATCATCGGCGAAGTCCAGATCCTCCAAGTTTTTTTTACTAACTTAAATCTTATTTTAGCTCTAATCCTAAAAAAACGTTTCATCCAACTACTACTACTACCAACTATGATGTTTATATATACACGACTCAATTCATAATACCTACAAACACCCCTTTACTGCACATGCAGCTTTGAGACATTATTTTATTTGAGCATGAATTTAATCAATACAAAAATAACAAAGAGTATACTTGGATGACTGTGGTATATGTCTCATACATATATAAATGTATAGCGTACTTCACCACAGTAGACCACAGTATAATCATATCAATAAAAAATATTTTTTTTTACATGTGTATGAATGATTACTGACTGAGTACAATTCGTAAATCATAAAGAACAACTTATTAGCATATTGGTTGTTCAAACTTGTTGTGTTAGATGACATTCTTGAAAATGAAAGTTACTCTAGGGCATTTACTGAATTAGTAAAATAGTGAGAAGATCGGTTGAACTTTTATATATATATATATATATATATATATATATATATATATATATATAAGTGTGTATATATTCCCCATCCTCTTATGTGCGGTTTATTACAGTTTAGTGTTATCTTCACCTATTTATTTACTTGTTTATTTGTTACTATTTTAGACCTCCATCCTCAACGGTCAGTTGAGACAACTTATTGATAAAAGAAGGAAATCTCGTTGTGTATTTGTGTGTGTGTGTGCGTGTATGTGTGTTGAGAGAGAGAGGGAGGGAGGGAGGGAGCTGAGGTCTTGCCAAACCACAATAATTTGTATCTTCCTCCTTATATTCCATACTGAATTCTTTTTCACTGATACACAGACAACTTTTTATTTCTCGTAAATTTATTGAAAAGAATAATTAATGGACAAAGAAAAGATATGTCCAGTAGGTTTTGCCGTAAGTGTGACAACTGTCTGACTTAATCCAGGTACTCTGTGTTTCTTAAACACTGATCTATATTTACATGATCAGATGCATACATACAGAAGAAAAATGTCAAATTGAATGGCGCCAGGTTGGTTTCATCAAGTCGACTGGGTGGACAGACAGATAAATAATGTACATTCCTTTTTTATAATGCCCAAAAGTTCAGGATGTATACTTTTGAAGTTGACCACTGCCTAAATCTGACAGTCGCTAACCTTAAAAGATATAAGCGATAGATAAATGAACCATTTGAATAGATTGAATATATGAAATAAATTTTATTCAGTAGTGATTTTATTAGTGGACATCGAAAATATGTTGACTTAATTCACTAAAACTACTATAACTACTGAAATAAGCATGTGACCAAAATATCAGCCGACATGTGCACTCCTTTTTCGTAATGATTACATTGAATTTAGGGCCGTAATTTTACAATGTGGTCCACCAAGGGAGAGGGCTCTCGAGTGGTTGCGACACAGGACGATCCTGCATGTCCCTCTCCTCTCGCAAGAGGCAGGAATGGGTGTGTTTGGCTCTCCTGAAAACCAATACCCAGTCGATGGGTGTATCACTATGTGAATTCGGTGCGTCAGTGGCATATCCCGGTTAGGACGCACGCCGACCATGCACATGGTCCGGGGTTCAATCCCCGGCCACCGACGCAATCCTTTACCTCGCTAAGCCAGTAATAAAGCTGGTAAAGAGAGAAGGTTAGGCGTGACGTTAGCAACCACATTCTGTAAAAATAAACGCCACTGCTACCGAAACTTCAAGCCTCTAGCCTGAAGCCCTATGTTCCACTTGGAACGTGAAGAAGAAAAATTTTTACAATTATGAGAATTTAATTTCTAAAGTTTTAAAAGACTTTATCAATTAAATGATAAACTTTTAAATACATTTCAGATATACGTGAACGTGTAAATCAATTACGCAATGAATTCCATGATAAGCTGAATTCAAATCAATCCAATTCATCCAAAGATAAAGATAGTAATATCAATAATAATGATAGTAATGAAAAAAAGAATTCAACCGATTTAATTCCTTTCACATATCCTATGGATACTCGTTTACATAATCAGCATTATAATGATAAACACAGGAGTGTAATGAGATCACTTAATTCTAATGACATCGGTTCTCTACAATTAACCAGTCATCAAAATGCCCAAAACTTCAGTGGAAAATATCATCCAATCATTAATACACCAGTCGCTTCAACAGATAGATCAAATAATTCACTACTACTAATCACTCCGTGCTCTCAATCTGTAGATAGTGGTATTGAAGATATTGAGAATACACCTATCAGTATTTCATCTTCATTACAATCAATAGATTGCGTAATTGGAATACAACAAAAGAAAATACCAAGGCATGATTATTATCATCATTCTTATTCTTATTCTTATGATCCTGATCAATCAAATGAAGTTGAAGTTAATGAACAAGTAATTGACTTATCATTTAAAAAACAAAAGCAAATAATGAATACGCATCAATTCCAGTCGACTAATACACAGAATGTTTGGAGACCGTATTTAGACTGAAGCGAATTCTGTAGAAGTTTTTCTTTTCCCACTTTCCTTTCAGATAATGAAACAAACAAGAGAATAGTTAAGAGAACTTAATGTATCGACTTTACAAAATCAGATTCAATCAATATTTCAACTTCTTTCTTTCTTTTTTTCTTTTTTGTTTGGTTATTAATTTCATTTTTGTACCACTAACTTAGCCACATTTTTATTCCTTAGAAAGAGATAAAAAAGGATGTAACTGGTGAAACTTATTTTAATAAAAATAAACTCAAACATAGAGTCATAGTTTTTTCTTCTTTTTTGATTTTTGAGAAAGAAATGTTTCCGAATGGGAGGAAAAAAGCGATTGGTTCCCAAAATAATTCAAGTTATATGACGGTAGTTTCTCAATAATGCAGGAGAGAGAGAGAGAGAAATAATCAAAGTCCATAGTAGACTTGAGCCTATTTTCTAAGTTAAACTAATAATTTCCCTAACCATATCAAAATTCTAAACAGCTATTTCAGTTATATGAAGTCAGTTGCATAAGGTGTGTTCGAATAGTACACTTTACCATATCTCTGTCGATGGAAACATCACAATCGACTGATATTATATTATTATTATTATTACTCCCTTGGGTTCCTAGTGAAACATAGAGCTTCAACTGCACGTCTCCACTTGCCACTTCTGTCTTCCTTCTGCTGTACTTTTCACCTGCACCCATGTTAGTCCATACTCTTTCAACTCCTCTTCACACCATCTCCTCCATGTCACCCTCGCACTGACGTCCCACTCACCGCTTCCCTTTCGGCTTGGTTCCACTTGAGGGCTTGACGTGCGATGTCACCCAGCGGCCTCCTCAGCAAGTGTCCAATCCATCTCAATCCACTTTCTCCTGCATATCTGTTGGTTGGAGATTGGTTCTTGTTTTGTTTTTTCCCAGCCATAGTTTCTTTTTGGTGATTCCTTTCGGCCTGGCCATCTGATCTTCAGCATAGATCTAGCGAAGACAGTTGTTGATAAATGTCTGCAATAGGCTGTTGGAAATATTCTTTGTGACCCACCCACCAAGTTTCTGATCCGTATAGAACAACTGACTGACTTGACGTTTGTATTGAAAATCCAAGCGAATTTTGTTGTTGATGGTGGGTGAGTGACGAATATTTCCAGATTAGTTGTTTCAGGTTGATGAATGTATTTTTCGCCTTCCCGATTCTCGCTCGATTTAACATCCTCGTCCGTTCCGACTTCCTGTAGTTGAGACAATGCTCCCTAACTAGATAACTGAATGAATGAAGTAACCTCTTTCAAATCCCTCCCGTTGATGGTGATTGGCACTGAATGTCTGTCTGTCTGTCTGTTTTCGACATAGAACTTTGCACAAATGTGAGGAAGTTCAAGTCGCCACACTCCGTGTAGCACGCGAAGCAAGAGAAGAAAGTACAAAAAAAGCATAATAGAAACAGTGAGCAGAGGTGTGAGACAAAGGAGTAATAAAGAAAAACAAAACAGTTTCATTGGAGATCATAAGTCACAAGGAGTGGATGCATCTGCGCTAGCCACTGAGAACGATTTTGAGCCATGTCACCAATTGTTTCCAACCATAGATTTTTACCGTCCCGAGGGCCCCAGCCTGGAAGTCTACACCTTCCTACGTGGCTTAGACCAACTGTTGTGGATTTCATTGACTGGTGCCAAGTTTTTGTTTGACCGCCGCTAGCTTTTTTCCAGCCTGACCCTATATCCGCTAACATAGCTCGTCGAGGGAGGCGATGACTAGGCATACGTAACACATGTCCTAACCATTTCAGTCTTTGTAACTTCACAACTTCGTCGATTGATTTCCCCTGTTTACCTAGAACTCGACGCCTAGCCTCAATGTTGCTCACCTTGTTATGCCACTTTACACGGGAAATAGAGCGCAGGAACCTATGATCAAAGACAGCTAGTCTTTTCATGTCTTCCACTCTCAATGGCCAGATCTCACAACCACAAAGGAGGACGGAGCGGACTGATGAGCAGTACACCCGACCTTTGGTCGATAGTCGAACATCTCGTCTACGCCAGAGTCGGCGTAAACTGGCAAATGCGAAACGAGCCCCCTGTATTCGTGCTGAGATTTCGTTAGAGATCAACCCGTTGGCGTTGGCTGATGGTACTTCCCAAATAAGTGAAGCGGTCAACGTGCTCTACCACTTCACTTCCTATTTTTAAATTAGGCGTCGATGTAGTCCAGTCCTGTAACGTCATCTTGCATTTGGCGGGAGTGAATCGCATGCCAAACATTCGTAGATTACAGCTCAAGGTGTTCAGAAGACTCTGCATTTCGTCAGCGTCTTCGCCTAGAAGGACTATATCGTCTGCATATTCCAAGTCAACGAGATTATTCCCTGGTAGCAAGTCAATCCCTGAGTCGCTGAAGTCACCTAGGGTTAAGTCCATTAACACATCTATGATGAAGTTGAATAGAAAAGGGGATAATGGGCATCCTTGACGGACACCACTGGTCGTCACCAGTTCAGATGACAGCTCGCCGTAAGCCCTCGCCTGGCTGTATGAGTACGAGTAGAGTGCCTTAATCAGTGCAATATATTTTCTCGGAATTTCCTTTACAGCCAAGCATCTCCAGAGAACTTCTCGATCGACACTGAATGTTGTTGTTGTTGATCGGTTGGTTATTTTCATAACCTCCGTCTTGTCTATTTTCCCCTGGATGGAGTCCTGTGTTTGCTGCTTCTTCGATCAGTTTGTCGGTTTTCGCTTGTAAGTCTTCGATTTTATGTGACATCAAGCATTTATCATCCGCGAAATCCTGGTCTTCTAGGCTCTTCACGTCGGTATATACTGCTATTCGGTAAAAGCAGATGAAAACGACTGACATCTACCTACCAGTAGTGTTTTCTGGTTCGATGAAGATCATCATCACCGGTGTACCCGAATTAATTCAAACGACTTGAATTCTGGTTGACTAGCTGAGCGACAGTGACTTCAAGAATATATATTCATTTTCTGCAATCAGCTGTATAATAAAGATGACAGGCTTAGCACATCAGGAGTAATGTAAAGGCGGATAAAATTCAAAGTACAGTTTATGCACTACAGCTATGCTATAGGTTGCAGATACAAAAAAGTATATGGAGTTAACAAAGTTTTAAATGCAGATATGGACTCTGTTACCAGTTTTACCTTGACCCTCTCGAGTCTTAGAGTTATGTTGTTATTACAATGATCAGGTTGGCTATTACACAAACAGCTTTAGAAGTCATCCATAATAAGCTCTTATTCACCCACGTGACTAAAGGAAAGAATAGATAGCCTCAAAAAATATATATAGCTGGTTATTGATTTGAAAACGATAAGGTGGAATTCGCCTCTATTGTTTTGTTGACACGCAGGAATTAACACAACGAACAAGATCCGAATTTCCAGGACTAATGTCAAGTCAGTGTTTCCATATGTTTTAGACACTTAGAGTACACATTACTAGAAGAATTTCTAGCATACTAAAGACTTTCATCAATACCTGCCTTCTCTTGATATTGAAGATTAAATGTACAGATATTATAAGTAACAGTTAACTATGGCAACCAGTTGATAGTCTATTGACTGACAAATACTCAGAAGGAAATGGAAACGAATTGGACATTTCTTAAGAAGACTGTTGAATGGCATTACTCCCTATAGTGGATGGAACCCGAATAGGAAGCGATGAGTTGGGCGTCTGAATGTGAAACTAAGGAAATCGTTGGAAGAGAAAATGAAAGTTCGTAAACAAGCTTGAAGCCAGATAAAAAGGCGGTACAGAACAGAATGAGATGATGAGCATCATTTCATTAAGGCGTTTGGTTCCAATAATTTTCTATCATAAAGGTACATCGATCATAATAATAACTTAACAGAAAATTTACTTGTTCTCACGTCGTTCCCGATTTTTGGATTTAAATCGCTGTTAAATAGAAGAATGACTTTAATTTAGAATTTCTGAGTACACATAAAACGACAGTGGAATAGAGTAAATACATGCTATCTTATTTGCCACCAACCACATAAATGACTTGATATAGCCGACGACAAAGGGAGTCCAGTTTTCCTCTTCACATTCTATCATGTAGCCACACTTCCATGATCTCTTCCAATTAAGACATGTTCACTACTTCCGTGAAGCGGGTGATGTTCTTACAAAAGTGAAAAAGTGAACGACAGTGTGTGATGTTTCATCATTAGTCTGGTGGAGACGGTTGGTTTATCCGGGAGAATTGTGAGACGCTGATTCTAAACTAACGGTATATATGTGCCACTTGATCCGAGAATGGTGAATAGCGTTTTGACCTGTTTTTTTCACCAGGAACCTTAGAAAGTGGTTTCTGATTTTTCTCTGTTGCCTGGTGAGTTATATTTCGAGTCGGAGACTCGGCGCATGCTCCCTTGAGACAATCATATTTCGATTAGAAACTCAACCTACATGCTATATATGACGTGACAGTTCAATGGAGAGCTTAAATGAACTTTACCGTCCTATAGCTAGTCAGACCTGATAACGTATAAACGATAAATAGAAACACATCATTCATCATCATTATTTTTTTATTGTTAATTTCATACAGGAACTGTCTTGTTTTATTCCCGTCACCTTTACATCCCTTATTATCTCTGTTTCTGTCAGTTGTTCATCGTTATTTGAAATCTTAGTTTACCTATCTCATATTCAGTCACTGAATAGCCGCTTTCAGAAAATTACTTCCCCCCCACACACACACCAGTATATATGAAACCACAATTTCTCCATTGCATGTCACGTCCAAACTTACCACTTATAATGTCCTCACACTGCTGCAAGTCAGACAATAGGCATGTTTAGCAAGGGCCCTGGGAAGCCTCACTTCTTATATATGATGCATCTCAAAGAGTTATATACGAAATTCCAATAAAGTTCTTTGAATAACGTCTCCATCTGTCAACTCAGAAAATGTCGCATGTTCGCTTATAGGGTGACCCTGTGGCATCAGTGTCCAGCTTAAGTGATGTTGGCATCTCAGTAAATGCTGAAGCTACATTACTCAATAAGTTATCGATTATTGGTTGTTCATATATCCACGGGCTAGAAGATTATATTGGATTAAGAAGTAACTGACTAAAATAGCACAATATTTTCATCACCTCTATCTATGCACCAATTGATTGCAACCAAAGTGCAAGTCAGTAGCATTCTTAAACAAATCAACACACATTGTTATGTTAACCGGAGACTAGAATGCACATGTTGGGCGCCTAAGTACAGAGGAAAATCACTTAGGTGAGCAATGAGGACAAACAATGAAAACAATCTTCTGTAGCCGTTTGCAGATCTCCACCAGTACTAGATCTCTTTATAACTATCACAGTTGTACCAGTAGCACTAGTTTACAATAAATGAATATTTGGAAGGACAC